TTAAATGAGGGTCCTTGGTTTTCCGTTTTTGCCTTTTTCTGTTTCAGCCGCGAAAATTTTTTTTTTTTTTTTAATTTTTTTTTTTTTTTTTTTTTTTTTTTTTTTTTTTTTTTTTTTTTACAGCGAAAACTTAAGACATTATTCCACCAATGCTCTATTCGAAATTTTTTACTACCAGGAAGATATATCCATTCTTGAATGCGTAGGGACACTATATTAATTATACTTATTTATCCTGATAAATTCACACTAATTAGTTCCATAAAATAGGCATTCATCCCAAAATTACGATCAGCAATTCATACTGCTCTCGGACTTACTACCGAATATATAAATTGTAATTGTTGTATGGACGATGAAAGTAATGACAAGGATGATGTCAATTGGGATTCTAGAGAGCAAATTCTATCAACACATAATGATACATCTATTTTGTACAAATTACATTTACAATGCGGTAAATTGATTAACGTTCGAGATTGGCTGGATTCTTTTGAAAATGTAATAGCTAAAGAAAATTTAGAAAATAGAAAGCTTAATGAAAAGGAGGTTGTGTAAGTACCTTCGACTAAATCAGTTGATTTTTAGATTTTAAGAACGTCAATCTAATAATTTATATAAATGTTTCAGAGCAAGATTTATAAAAGGATTTGAAGAACTTAAATTAATTGGGATAATCGGATCTACGAGCAGAAAGACAGATCATTTTAAAAGACTCTCATGGGGCAAATTGTAATGCATCCATAATAAGAGTATCAAAAACCAATCTCATGTAAGCTCTGGACTTATAATGTGTTTTCATTTTCTAGTAATAAAAGCAATAAAGAAAGGTTATTAAATTTGAAATCAGATATAATACAAAATCTGTGTTTGGATCAAAATCCCGACAAGCAAAATCCCGACAGGTCATAATCCCGACAAAAAAATCCCAACAGCAAAAATCCTGACATCCCGACAATTAAAAATTTTGATAAAAAAAATATCATAAACCATAGCTAACCCAAGCCTAATGCTTATCTAAAGTGATCTAACCCTAAAGTTAATTAAATTATAAGAGTCTACTTCACTTTAAACATATCCTATATTTGGGATTTCTATCCGATTGTTAAGATTTTTAATTGTCAGGATTTTTGACTGTCAGGATTTTTTTTGTCGGGATTATGACCTATTGGGATTGTGCTTGTTGGGATTTTGATTGGCATCCACAAAATCTATATTAGACACTTTATAATATATTTTAAAAAATATCAAAAACCTATTTTAAGCTGATAGTAATATTAGTTAATTACAGTAAATTAATATTTTGAAAATTTTAATGCTTATTATTTTTTTAGAACTTAATTTGTAAATTAGCTTAATTAATTTAAAAATATATCTAAAGGATATATTAAATAGAGTTAATATAAATGTACTTGTAGGGTACATTAAATTTTTTGTACCCATTATTTTGATTACAGTAATATCGATATTGTTTATGTTAGGTTAGCATTAGGGTGAGAACTATGTTATAGTTTGGGTCTAGACAGTTATATAGTAAAATTGCTCAAGAAAAACTTTTTAATAATGTATAGAAGATGGTTTGATATGCAATTTCTTGCAAAATAAGCGGTTTATGTCAAGATGAATATTTGTTTTGAATTTTCTTGATTGTGTAATATTACACCTGATTTTAACTTTGGTAAGAATCTATATAGATCACATAATGTAGGTATATGTACTTTTGGGTACATGTATATAATTCCTATTAAATAATAAAATATTTTTATTTTTATTTTTATTTTTTTTTTTAACTTTGGCAGTCTTGTCAGTGATCCTTTATTAAGATTGTTTTGTTGCAGGCTGTACAAGATACTTTAAGCTTAATATTTAGGCCTGACATTCCACAGTTACTTTTAAGAGCACTTACAAGCAACCTGTTACACTAGGCCAATAAATTTACAAGAGACATATTATGGTAAATCAATGGAAAATCCGAAGATTATTTATTCTAAAAAGTCATATTAGATCACTGCTCTACAATAGGATATCATCAATCTGATGACATCTTCTTATAGAAAAGTGAAAAAAAAAGAAAAAAAATATTAATACTAATACTAATACTAAAAAGGGAAAAGAAAAAACAAAAGTAAAAAAATCTGATAGTTACAATTATAAGCCTGTATCAGGTTAATAAAAATTACATATTACAAAATAAAGAAGCTTTGTATCTAACTCTATCCTAATAATATATCTAATCCATACAAAAAAAAACAAAATTAGCAGATTTAAACTAAACTAGAAGAGTAGTTAAAAGGCACCATTAGTCTTGAAATATTGTTTAAATAGTTTCTTTCAGTTGAGACACATTGTCTAATTGTGTTGTCCTTCAAACATGTTTGGTTGCTAATCTGGCTATCTATCGATTTGTGTTTACTTAAAAGTAAACAACCTGTTTTAAGAAATAATCAATCCGATTTGGGAGATAAACAATACTGATTGTTTTGGAAAATTATATATCAATCTTTTGAAAAGGATAAGCTGAGACACCTACTTTTTGACAAAATTTCTTCAAAAAAAGTGGTGGATCAATGAAACTTGTGAATTTTTCTTTGTAAGTTTTATAGTTGTATAGGAACTATTTTCAGTTTTTTTAATATGCTTAGTATCGATCTAGTTGTTCAGTATTTCCAGAATATCCTTCTGGTTTAGATACCAAATATAATAGAGAAGTCCGCTAACAAGAAAGCTTGACCTCTACAAAAACCATCCAAAGAAGTCTGCTTCTTGGTTTTATACTCTTGGTACTTTATTGACAACACACCTACTTATGTAGGACCAAATATATTATTACCTTTGATATCTTTTATAATGCTAACTATAGTTCGAATTTTTGGACTTGTTGACTAGAGGATCGTTAGAAAAAGTTGTGATTAGTTTTGTTTTGAGAATATTTTTATTGAATACTGTAGATTAACACTGCAAACTTAATTTTCAAATAAAATATATAATATAATTCAAAATTTTTTTATTTGAAATTCTTTAAATTTCTAATAAAATTTAATATTATATCTTTTTTTTTCAATATTAAAATGATCTCTTGGTCACTTTTCTTTTATTTGATTATTGTTTAATTTTTACAGTATGATATATATTATACTATATACATATTTGGAAAGTACAACTAGCCATACATGCAACTTTTATTGCCTATGTATATAAATAATATACTATAGATTTTACACTAAATACTATACTTACAACCCAACTAGGAAGTTATCTATTTAAACTTTCTGCACTTATATATATTAATTATATAATTGAATAAAAGCACTTAATATATTCTATTTTCAAATATCTAACTTAGAACTTTAAAACGGATTTATACTCTATAGAGAGCTTTTTGTCTCAAAGCAATCTGCTAGAGCTTTTTGTATTTACAATCTGTCTAATCTAGGCTTCAGTAATTTATACTGAGTCTAAAGAAAAGTACTTGTGAGTTGAAGTCACTACTGTTATCTAATTTTGCCTTTATAGAGTTTATTTCAAACCCCAGTATCCACTTTATAAACTATTACCAGTATCTAAGTTTCATCAGTGTTTTAAACTTCTAATTCAGATAGTCTAAAAAAGCTGTAACCTGCTTTTTAGTTTCTATAGTTAGGTTTTTTTCCTCTAATTACTTCTT